GATATTTTTCCCGCGATATTTCGCCGAACTGCGAACGTCGACGGTACTCGTAACCGGTTTAGCCTCGGAAATGGCAGAGGGGACGGTTCGAAAATAGAGAATTGTTTGGAGAAATGAATGGGCGATGATGTATACATAACTGAATAGAAAAATTCTCTATTATTTTGCAATTTTCGCAATAGTTAACAAAATATTAATTACTAAAAATTGCCAAATATTGGTCTTGAATAATTTTTTACTCAAATACTATTAACTTTATAGAAAAACTGCAAAAGCCAAAAATCATTTATTTTCTTCTTATAAAGAATTCTGAGAATTTTTGTAGAATTTTTTAATATCATATTTTCTTATGTTGGTAAAAATAAGAAAATGCAATATTAAAAAGTTGATGAAAAAAAACTGAAAAAATTTTTAAAGTTTTATGAGAAGAAAATAAATAATTTGTCTTTCTTGCAGTTTTTCTGTAAAGTTGATAGTATTCGAGTAAAAAATTATTCAAAATTAATATTTGGTAATTTTTAGTAATCAATATCTTGTTAACTATTGCGAAAATTGCAAAATGAGAGAGAACTTTTTGACTCAGTTTAGTCCGTTCTATCTACAGAAAAGCGATTGACAAAAACTTTCGAGATATCCTTATATCCAATATATATATATATATTGTACAATATATATACAATATATATATATATATATTGTATATATGTAATATATGCACACACATGTACACCATATATACCCAATGGTGAGAAAATGTTTTTTAAACGTTTATTTAATGTTAATTAAACGTTTATTTCATATTATTAAATGTTTGTTTTAATTTTTTGTTTAAAATAACTGTCGAAAAAACATTTTTTAGATATTTATATAATGTTTATGAAATGTTTGTTTTACATTAATTTTTTATTTTATATAACGATGAAAAAAATATTTTCTCAAAAGAAAAAAATGTTTATTTAACGTTAATTAAACGTTCATTTTACATCAATTATTAATTTAAAATGATGTTTGAAAGAAATATTTTTTAAACGTTTATTTAACGTTTATGAAATGTTTGTTTTACATTAATTATTTATTTAAAACAGTATTTTGAAGAAATATTTTTTAAATGCTTATTTAACGTTTATTAAATACATATATAAACGTTTATTAAATTTTAACATTAAAAAAACGTTATTTAAACGTTTGAATAAACGTTTTTTTTTTTATAAAAAAAAAGGATTTTTCTTGTTATTTTAAACGTTACTATTATCATTACAAAAACATTTTTGTCAAATCTTAAAAAAGTTTTTTTTTAAAACTTAACATTAAAAACATTTTTTTGAAATATTAACAAAATGTTTTTTTAGCATTAAACAAACGTTTTTTAACATTTTTAAATAAAAATGAATTAACGTTTTTTTTAATGAAAAAAAGGAGATTTTTCTCGTTATTTTAAACATTTTTTCAAACATTTTTTTCTTCATTGGGTACATGTGTATGTATGTATATAGGTTAGGATAATTTTAATAACAATGTTGTATCATGAAAGATAAATTACAGATTGCAACTGAAAAAAATATAAGAAATCTTGCGTACGAAAGAATAAAATATTTATCTCCCATGACAAAACGTTAATACAGCCATTAAAAGTCACTCTGTTTATTTATATGTTTATTTATATGAATGTGTGTGTGTGTGTGTGTGTGTGTGTGTGTGTGTGTGTGTGTGTGTGTGTGTGTGTGTATACATATATAATTATAATATATTATCCATCAAATATATATATATATATATATATATATATATACATTTTCTTTTTATATCAATTTATAAAAAAATATTGAAACTTAAAAATCTATACTCTCTCTCTCTCTCTCTCTCTCTCTCTCTCTCTCTCTCTCGCTCTTCTATCTGCTTTTCTTTCCTATCTTTCTTATATACATTTCGTACAAATATATTTTAAAGAATTAAGAAAATGCTACAATATATTAAAAAGGAATGCTACGTTATATGTATACCTTATTTTTATTTTATTTCGAATTTTAAGAATTAATTACAAAAAATTACATATTTATATTCTATGTATAATATACATATGTATTATATACATATTATATACAATTTTTAACATATTTTCTTACTATAAATAGGAACACTTTATTCAATAATTAGGGTTGAGAAGTAATGCGTTACTTGTAACGACGATACTTTTTTGTTACTTTTTTTCGGTAACTATTTGGTAATTATATCTTGTCTAATAACGAGTAACGAAATTTATCCCGTTACTCTTGTATTGTTACTTTTTTATAAGTCATGACCGTCATGGACAACAAAATTATAAGTACTAAATAAACAAAAAACTTTTTGCCTATTTTTATTTCAATTATTATCGCTTTAGCATAAGAACACTAAAAACAAAAATATCTATTATATAATAAAATACCATAAAATTAAACATAAGTAAAATAATGTATGTAAAATAAATTAATACGAAATGAAAACGTTTAACGGTAAATATCTTTCTAAATACCTTATAGTTTATTTGTACTTTGTCTTAGAAGCCTGTTTTAACATTTAAAAAATGTAATTATATAAAAGACACGTTTATTCATTAATTAATTTTGATGAAATTAGGACAGATTTCCTTATCTCAATTACAATCAACTTTAACCATTAATTTCAGTTTGCCAGGTAGAACAACATTCATTTTTTTGTCCGGTTCGTTCATTTCGTGCAAAAACGCATTAAATAATTCTAATTTCATCAAGATTGGTGAGTAAACTCCTCTCATTTTACATAATTACAAAAAAAGTAATGAAACAATTTTTTATCATTACTTTTAAATAACGATAACGCGTTACTTTTTAGAAATGGTAACGAGTAACAGTAACGAATTACATTTTATCGCAAATAACGGTAATAGTAAAGCATTACTTTAAAAAGTAATTTTCTCAACCCTGTCAATAATTAATAATCTAATAATAAGCGTTGCTAGAGACAAAAATTATCATAATGGCAT